ATCAGTCACCAAGCATATAAAAACACTAGTATCACCCGATTCATCGAGATTATCACATTCTTACTCGATTGCAAATAATCGGTAATGACAGTGAAAATCCAGTATTGGGCGATTGCTAGATTTCTCCTCAGTATCAACTATTGATTTATCGTCCGATAATCGATTGATTTGACTGTTGCTAGCTGCACAGGCAGACGCATCTAGGTAAAAGTCCATATTCCAACAAGTAACCTAGGATAACTAGTCGTGTATCGTTCGATTTCAAACGAAATGCATCTAGATGTTTCTCATAGATAATGTGTTGTCGATTCAGTTGCTTTTCTCGTGTAAATGAATAACATGTACATATACATCGTTGATTTTTGTCAAGCACATGCAAACTCTGCATTCTATTTCATTGAATATTATTCATTTTCAAAAAGAATATCGATAGATTTGTATTTGTATATCTATAAAACTATCACAAGAACAGAAATTACAGTAAATTGAATGTTTTGCTGATAGAAAACGAAAATTTGTTTTCTTTTGTAAATACATTAGATTTTTGTGTTTCTAGGAAATGCGAGAAAACGAATGATTTTCATCTGTATCATCACGTAGAGAAAGATCTGCATAGGGTATACTCTATGTCTAAGTTCCATTATTTTCCAAGACTTCCGTTATGTTCTTGCTTTCACTGTTTGTTATATTTGTATTGTCGATTATTTTGCTAATAGTCTATCATAATGAAACAAAAACTGATTGATATGAAAAGTTTAATTGATGCTTCATCGATATTATCTAAAGCGACTTTATGTGATGAATTATTTACACTATGTAAAGATGTGTCATATCGTCAGTTTGGTGAAAAATTTGACGCAATGTTAACCATTATTGATACATATTATTACGTATTGAAAGATTATCCAAAAGCTTTTGAACTTTTAAATGAAATGAAAAGTGGTAAATTTAATCGAAAAATTCTTTTAATGTCTTGTTTTACGACTATTTTACGTTTTTTTTATTCAGCCGTCAAAGAAGAAATGAATTTTGCTACATGGGACGAAAAAACTGAAATGAAATCTCGAATGCATTTATTTTCTCATATAATTGATGAAACGGAAACGTAAGAAGTTAGAGAAAGAGCGAGAGAAAGACATTTAGATAAAGAAAGGAAAAGCGTTTAAATGTTGTTTTAGATCACAAGACGATCATCAACTTGAATTTTTATCAGATTGTATTTCGGAAAAACGTAAGTTTGTTTGTTCAGAAAAGGAGATCATAATTGACTACTGATTACAGATAGATTCTCGTAGTCTCTCGTTCGAAAATGTTTCTATATAATTTGATGTGTTATTTAACATTGTTTTTATTTTAGTATCCATGCAAACATGTAAAATAGATTGTTTCAAAGACGAGGTCAGTCAGCTCCTTAACCCGATAATCTTAATACATAAGGCTTGATACCTTTTAGTTATGGAGATCTGAAGATGATAGTGTCGATATACAATTTCAGGCAGATTCGGAGAAAGACACGGAATGTGAGTTCATTTATTCTGTAGTGTGATGAGTGTCGAACTTTTGCTTGAATGCTACACAAATTTTGGTATTATCGTGTTTAAATGTCTCTGAACAGTTTCATTCACGACTATATCGTTTAATTTTAATTGAGGCCTACATTTTCTTTTCATGTGTTTGTCCAGGGCTGTGGCGAGAGAAAAAATCAGAGGTGTAAATTTTTGGGAGAAAGTTAAACGATTATGGGAAAAGGGTAAAAACGGTTTTCATAATTCACAAATTGTTTCGGAAGAAAGATTATGAACAGGAGAAAGCAGGAGGGGTGCGTATGGCGTACACTTCATTATAATTCTCCTGTTACCACGGCCCTGATTATGTTTCTTTCTCAACCGTGTAAACATTCATCTAGTTTCATCTGACAAAGTCCTACTTCAAAATTCATTATGCATAAAGACAGTAATTATATAAGCTCAACACTTATTGTTCTAAACTTTGAATATTTAGAACTTAGCGGTAGTCATTGTAAAAGAAAAGAAAGACAAACAAACATATGCTCTCCACGCTTTTCCTATACTATGCGATATCGTGGAAACTTATAGAATCAGGAATACTGTCAAGATGTTTTCAGTGTTTTGTTGCTTCTATCGACTTTCATATTTCAGATAAGTACTAGTATATGCATTCAGACGTACTCTTTCCAAATATGCTATTGAAAATATTTCAAAATATCGTCTTCACAGTAAAAGCTGAACTGGTTGTCTGTGAATAATTATAGAATCATTTTACCCATTCTCTGTTCTGTTCTTCTTGGTTACTTTTATTTGTTTAACAAAATTACATCACTCAAAAGCCATGTTACAAGCTACGTTTCAGAAGCAAAATATTTAAAAAATCATGCTTATCTAACTGTAAAATAAGTAAAAAATGAAATAATGTTATTTACAATTTTTTTCGACTATACCAGTGAATATCAGAAACTGAGTGTAATGAATTTGATCTTTGTGGGAGCAGATCCTTGCTGATTTCCTCAAAAGTTTTTAAAAAGTTTTTCAAAGCATATTTGGAATCGTTTACACAATGCTGAATTGATCTCGCGTTAAAGATACTAAGTGGCAGGGAAACGGCATTTTATCCAGCGAAAACAGTGTCAGCACTGTTAAAACGATTCACAATATTCTTTGAAAAAGATTTTAGAAAACTTTTGAGGAAATCTGCTCTGCAAGGTCAAATTGACTATACTCAGTTCCTGATCCTCTTCTCACTGGTATAGTTGAAATTGTGGTAAGAAATTTGTAAATGATGTTATTTCATTTTTTACGTATTTAACAGTTAGATTAGAAAATATTCCGCAGATGCGACTTGCGGTTGTGTAGAACATCCTAAATGTCGCTCAGACGCGTCCTATAAACTATCAAAGAGTATGTCGTGTGTATATCTAGAGTACTATGGGGTAAAAAGAGTCAATACACGAAATTTTCTTCGTAACTTACTTCGCATCCCTTTTTAACCGAAAAAATAACACGAACAACATAAGTTTAGTTAAAAACTCCGATGAACAAACACACCTGTCAAAGCAGTGCTCATAATAGAAATATCCAAAATATCTCGGCTGTTTTCATGACATAAGCCCCGTCTTGTTTTCATTCGATTCAGAACCAAAAGTTGCATAACTAGGGCTTATAACATTATTCAGCGCATTTGTGGTCAATTAAAGTTATAAACTAAACTATTAGTAAAACGTTAAAAAAAATTACAAATATTTTTAGGATATCAAAAAGTTTCTTGCGTTTTAGCAATTGAGAGACAGCGCAAAATGTGAAAGACAGCGGTATGATTGACAACTTTTACACTCACAGTAGTCTTAAAATTGGTTTTAGGAAGTCTGTACAGGTTCTTTTTTGGAAACTCCATGTGTTTGAATGCATTGACTCTTTTTATCCTGTCTGGGGTAAAATGACTCAATCAAAACCATTCGACTTCCATTTAAATATATTTGGAAAACTAACATAAATTTTTAAGAAATTTTAGCCCTAGTGTGTACGTATTACCGACTCTATCGTTGTGGTCAATATCAAAATTTTTTAGTGAAAAACGGATGAAAAATAGTCAAATTACGAAGAAACTTTCATACGCTGACTCCTTTTACCTCATAGTACTCTAAATATGTTCACAATTATTTGATAGAGATAGACATATTGCCGCAACAGGCACGACCGACCTTTCCCGAACTAGCAATATTGCCAAATCGGAAAAGACAAAATATTGGGCTAAATTTGTTTTTCGTTTCTCCCATGAAATAGGAAGACGCCTTAGCACATAATTTTTGATACACAATGAATATACAACGCGCGAGAAGAAGAGTAAACACTTCTCGCTCGTTGGATGACCTATGGTTTCCGGAATGCTATTGTCCGATCAGGCAACTGACAGCGGACTGCATGCTTCAATAAGTTTCCACCATACTGTACTTAGAACGATTGTCACTAAAGGGATGGACACATTAGAAGACTCGGGGTCTTCGATTGTGTTTTATCGTTCACAAATTTAGGGAGGGTGATCTACTGTGTCCCTTAGAAAAGTCGTATTTTTCGATACCCTCAGCAGTAAAACACGCAGTTCAAAACCGCAGTATTTTTCTTTACACAATATAGTAAATCACACACAAAAAGCTGTTAATTTCACTCTTGTTCGACAATAAAAAAAGAAAAAATACATTTACTTATTGCTTGACATATCTTTTAAAGGCAATTGTTTATTTTGGTTTTTAGTTACAACCCTAGTAAAACTTCTTGTAACCAGGATCTTGACTTCTTGAATTTTTGCAGTAAGATCTTGATTAAGGAAATATAAGAATTTTTTCATGGAATTTCAAGAAGTCAAGACCTTGAACATCTTGTAATTTCTTGACTTGAAAATTCTTGAATCATCGTTTTGTACACCCTTGTGTAAGTGTAAGTGCAGATATTGTCACACTTAGAATAGTTTTTTTTCTTCTTGAACATAGCTATTTAAGGAAGAATCTATGACTCTGTATGGTCGTATATCCGATGGTTATGCCTGTCATAAATAAAAACAAAATGTGAAAAAAATTTTTCACTCAAGCTTTTGGATTCACTCCAGATCTAGAAATTTCTGTTCCCAAGATGTTGAGTGAAAGATTCAAAAAACCAAGATCTTGACTTCCTAGTGTTTTTTCCATGACCACTCGGATCAAATCTATACCAGGTTGTATGACTTGGTTGAACGGGAGAATCATCGAAGCAACTTAATTAATATGTTTGCGTTTCAGCTACAGAGATGCATATTCAGAGAAGTGCAAAAAAGTAAAACAATTTGCAAAAATTCTCAAAAAATCAACCTTTGTTAAGGGGGTCTTCTAATGTGTCTACCCCTTTAACAATAATCACAGCTGAACTTCGAAGCTTCGTTCTGTTAAACTATACGGTTTTTTTCTGATGTGCCGTAGACTGTTCCACAGACTCTGTAACTATCACGAATTTACAATCCAACGGATGGTGTTTAGACGTGGTAGGCAAGGAAAATCAGTTCGCAGTGCCAGTTCGTTGTGCTGAGGAAGAACATGTCGTTTGCAGTGGTTTGCAGTGGTTTCATGATAGATCAAATTTAGACGAAGGAGGCAGAGCGTATGCAGCCTCTTCAAACGTAAGGAAGTCAATCTCATATAATTTTTGCATTAACACGCATGTTTCTTGTTTAGTTAAAATTTAAAGTACCGTCAGGATCAACGGCGAACATCAGCGATTTCAACAACCTACTTTCACGTCCGCGCCTACCATTATCCCTCAATGAATTTTCTTTACCTGAGCAGCCACCGCCAGTTACGACGTAAAACTCTTGTTTTATATCCTTAGAGTGCATACTAGGAGCAGTATATGCTACGTTGTATGACTTTTTGCTAAGCTGCCAGCAGTTGATAGCATTCTTTGCTTTCAATTTTTGGCATCGTGTAATACAGCTCATCGAGTTACCTGAGAAAAAGCCAGTTAAAAATTTTTCGGTATCATTTTTGAACTGAAAACTTAAAAAAATGCTGATTTTTTGAACAGCGAAAAACCAGAACTACTCTTTTTCAGCAAAATCTCCATCTTAAACTTGAGAAAACGTCGGAGTTATCGAAAAAAAAATTCGCGACCACATACCCAGGTCGACTCTCACGGCAAAGTCGCTACGTGAGTCACGGAAAAAAGTCATGGCGTGAACGCGTAACGCGACCGCTATTGGACTCACGAAAAATGTCACGATTTTCGCGACCACTATAAACTCACGATGAAAAGGGATTTTTCCAATCCACTAGTAAAAACCACGGCGTGACTCCCGCTGTCGCTGTGTGAGTCCATGTTTTTCCCAATATTTGGACGTGAGTCCTTATTCTCGCAATGTGATTCACGAAGTCGCGTCGTGAGTCCCGTGTTTTATCAAAAATTCAGCGCGACTAGCTGTTGTCTCCACGCGACTCCCGCTGTCGCGACGTGACTAAGCAGGGGCTCACGATTTTTCTTCAGCAAGACTCCTATCGCGCCTTTTACTTACTCGCGCCTGTTTTTTCTCCTGCTCTTTGAAGTGCTTATTCGATCTGGAGTTTTCCTGTCTGAACAGGGCTTGTATATAGGGTTTTTATTTATTTGTCAGGTTTTTTGAATGAAAAGAATTTTTTTAGTTGTTTTTAGAGGTTTCTCTTTTCTCAGACTCATAATTCAGTTGCTCAACTACGGTTCGACACAAAAGGTACTCGGTTGATCAGCTGCAAAGTTAATAGACCTGCTTCCGTCCTTTCCGTGCGAGTTTAATTTCCATAAGGCAACGCCTGCCGTACGTGAAGAACACATACACGCTAGGAGTTTTATCTGGAATTCCAAGGAAGCTGACGCTAAATCCTGCTCGTTATTCTGCAGGATACTCTATGCAGTTAGGTGAGCTTTTTCATGCCTCATCAAGATGGCCTCACATTTTTTTGTACTCACTAGTCAAAAGAGAATGGGATTTTCTATGGAGAACACAATACCTAAATTTTTCAAAAAAAAAGATTAAAAATAATCCTTTATGATTATTTCACTTAGAAACATTCGCGAGAATTTAATATCAAAAAGATGGCGTAATTCTGGTGGAGCTCTTGAATTCTAGTTTTACTGGAAGTCTGACAGCACCGTTGTACATAGCTGTAGTTCTTGATCACACCATGTTTTACTCGGACTTTTCTTCAAGAACATGATGCGACTTTTTGAAGTTTACATCGATCCTGCGATGCGTTCAGTACTCCACAATTTCTATCTAAAAGACATTTT